CTTCGCGCGCCGGGGACGTTGGGGCGGACGACGTGGAGGGTCCGACGCACGCGAGGCCCGCGCGCACCCCCTCATCGGCCGGGCTGGCTACTTCGGGAAACTTTGCGGACCCCAGGGAGGGGACGCGGGGAGCGCCCGAAGGGCCGCCCAACTTTGTGGCCAGGGCCCCGGCCCAGATGCGAGGGCTTCAGGGTGCCCCCTCCCCTGGGAGGGGCACGGCGGGGCACTGGAGTTTGGAGGGGGAGCGCGGGAGGGAGGGAGAGTCCTTTTGTCTGAGCGGGGAAGGTGCGGCCTCGCGAACTGAGGCTCACTCAGGTTGAGGGCCGGGGGGCTGGGGGTTGCGGAGGGAACATCTGCTCCGCGTTAATGCGGGAGAGGAGGCTGCGGCGGCTCCGGGTTGCGAACAGAGGGGCTGTGGCGCCCCAAGCTTCAAAGGGCTCCTGGGCCGCGCCGCCTGCACCGGCTGCCGGGGGTGGGCGGTTGGTTTCCCGGGCTTCCCCCTCGAAGGAAGACGTCGCGTGCCCCCTTTCTTTCGAAGAGGTTCCAAATACTTTCCGAGTCCCTAAAAGTTCTTGTGATACCCAAAAGTCTTAGCTCCCTGTAAAAGCCTGTTTCGGTCCCCTCTCCAGTCTGTCTTAAAATCGGTTTCAGCTATCCCACAAAAAATTGCGGTTTCATACTCAAAAAAGTCAGTTTCACACGGCCTCCCCAAAAGAAAAAAGTTAGCGGCGAAGGGGGTGCGCAGGGGCAGCTGTTTCACACCCTGTCTCTAGTTGACAGACAAAGCGGAGAGTTCACCATCACTGAAATTGGGTCTCCCTCGGCCTGGGAACCCCTTCTCCCCGCAGCTTCCACGGAGTCCCTGTGGCCACCCCGCCCCCACCTGGGGACCCGGGGAGGAAGCCATAGGGGTGTCGTTTGTCTACAGGACAACGAAGACTTGCTCTGCGCCCTTCTGGGGGGGGGGGAATGGAGTCTGGCAGGTGGGTCCCCCACCCCCGTTCTAGAATGGAGCCCCTGGGACCATGCGGAGGACCCTGGTCTAGGAACTAGCTTTCCCCAGGGGTAGGAGGCAGGGGATGCTTTCAAAGTTGCTTAAAAATAATTCCCGGATACATCATGACAATAAAACAACCTAGTATTGTTTTTTGTTGGGGGAGGAGGAGGAGGGGAGCTTTGAGGTCCCAGGTCCCTTCAATCATGAAGAGGGCAGGGGGACTTGCCTTGAGGATTTCTTTTTGTTTGAACTTGGGGGTGACTGAGGCTTCAACGTGTTGACAGCTGCTTGGGGAGGGCCTGAGTCACCCCTCCCCCTTCCCTGTCGGGCAGGGTTAACTTGGGGGTGGCAGGAGAGGGGCCCAGTAAGTGGAGAAGGGACTATTCCCCTTCTGCTTCCAGTTTAAAATTTGTGGCTTGAGTCTCTGGTGGTCTTGAGTCCCTGGTGGTCGCTGAGGGAATTAGGAAATCTACATTTGCTTACTCCCCCTCTCCCTCATTGTTCAAACTCCAAGGGCTCTGAGCAGGGGTCTCTCCAGGGGCCAGAATCCTGGCATTCTGGCTGCCCTGCCCCACCCCCCACGGTCAGGAAGGGACTTAGTTTAGGAGGACCCAGACCCTCAGGGTGGTTAGAGGGGCTTTTTGAACAGCTCCCCCATTCCCCATCTGTCTACTTAAGCTACAGTCACTCAAATTTTTTCCCTTCCCTCCCTGTTTCTCCTTATGTGTCTGTCCCTGCTCTGCCCTGCTTTCACCACCACCATCCACTACCACACAGGGCTGTCTCTAGGACTGAGGCACCACCTTTGCCCCTGAGCCCACCATTGCAGCTGGAGAATGAACCAGCCACAGAGGATGGCGCCCGTGGGCACGGACAAAGAGCTCAGTGACCTCCTGGACTTCAGCATGGTAAGCCAGGCTCTGCCCATCTCAGACACCCCTGGTACCCTCAGGATTCCTGGGAAAGAAGCACCGACTGAAACACCCTCAATAGCCAAGCCTCATACATCTTTGGATGGAGGGGTTCCTAATTGGGCCCGAGGAATTGGGGTGTCCTTCTGATGGGCAGGCTGATACCCCATGGCATTGTACATAATCAGGGCCCTTGTCAGCTTCCAAAGGCACCTGTCGCCCAGGCATTTGCTCAGGCACAGAGTGGGTCCAGTCTACCACTGTACAGGTGGGAAAACAGGCCCAGAGGGGGGGGCTGTCCAGAGACTCCAATGTCTCCAAGGGGAGGCTTAGCTGTGGGTACACAGTGGCCTTGGCCTCCTGACCTGTAAAATGGGTGTGACCAAGGTTATTTGCTACATCATAGATTAAAAAAAATAAGTTGGGGGTATCCGTGGTCTAACTAGTTATTTAGCCACATGATGGCTAGTGCAGTCAGGTGACAGGAGGGGAGACCTCATAAAGAGTGTGGCAATCTGTGGGCAGTACTCAACCACCACTACTATTACTGCCGTTGTTACTGTTGGGGAGAGGCAGGCCCCATGGGGGAAGGTGAGGATCCTTATACTTTAGGTGGTTTGATCCACCCTTAACTGCCCATTTCCCTGCCAGGCAGGTGGAGGTTCAGAGAGGGTGCTGGCTTCCAGAGGTCACACAGCTCAGGCCCAGTGAGGTCAGAAACCAGAGCAGAGCTCCCTTGGGTGCTGGGAGCTGGAGTACACCTTGGACCAGGAGCCTTGACTTACTCATCTGTGCAGTGGGCCACCTGTGGTGGGCCTTGGGGTGATCAGCATTTCCTCAGCAACCCAGTGTGGACAGTTCCCTAAGTCCTGCCCATCCCCCTACCCAGGCACCATTTTGGTTTGAAACAGGTTGGGGGAGGACGCTTTCGGTCTGAATTTAACCCTCCATTGGTACCAGGCCCAAGCCACTGAGGTCTGTCGAAAACAAGTCCCAAACTGAAATATTAGCCATCCTGTGGAAAAACAGTCCTTGAGACAGTGGGCCACAGCTCAGGAAGGGCCAGGCTTGTATTTTTAAGCCCTGCTTTATTTTTGCCTCCCTGGCTGAGTAAGCAGGGGTACAGCTCACTTGTTTTTTTGTTAAACTGACAAGTCACAGACTACTGGGCCAGAACCGACCTGCTTGGGGATGGGGGAACACAGGTTTAGAGCTGGCCCTTTGCCTCCACCATCTGAGAGCCCTGAACCACTTGTCCACCTCCCCCTTCTGTCCAGAGGGTCTGAATGTCCCCCTCCCCAGCTGAAAACCAGCAATCCATTTCACAGATGAGGAAACAGCCTGAGAGGGTGAGGTCTCTCTTCTCTCAGAGAAACTCAGAGCTTGATTTTTCATTTTCCCTCCTTGTTACAGGAGAGTGGCCTGGCCAAGTCACTGAGCACAGAGGCAGCCTCCCATTTTAGCTCACATTCTTCCTTTTGTCCCTGCATAGCACCCCCTCTCACCTGCCCCAGAGAAACTGAGTTCATTTGTTTCTTTGGAACACCTTGTTTTTAGACTGAAACAAATGTAAAGGGAAGCAGCATAGGGTTCTCAAAAGTAGGAAAAGCAGCGGTCAAAATTAAATACAAAGAAACAAAGGAAACCAGAGTTAAATTGGCTCTGAGCTCCTTGGGTTAGAAAAGGAAGGTGTTGAAGGCATTTCGGCTCTGAGCCATGTTCCCTGCATGGGCCGGAGATGGTTCCTTTGCCTGATGAGGGGCTGGGAGGACAAGGGGGTCTGGTAGCACTTGCCCTGTGACCTGACTGAGTGCTCCTCTGAGCCAGGCATGTGTACTGAGGCTCCCGTGTGCCCAAGACACCCGTGTGCTTTGGGGTTTCATAACATCCCATATGGTCAGAGCCCCAAGTCCATTTCCCAGAAGAGAATACCAAGGCTCTGGGGGTGTGGGGCCTATCTGGGCTGACGATGAGGCCTACAGCACCCAAAGGACACGGCCCATTGCCCTCTGGCGAGTGCCACGTCAGAGCCTCTAGTACTCTAGGGAACAAAACAAAGACAAGTCCCAGGGGCTTGGCTGCTAACCTTCAGGCATGGGAATCCTGTTGGTTCTGGTCTTAGCTCAAGCCAGCTCCTCCCCCAATGTAGGCCTCAGTTTCCCCAATAGGAGAGGGGCCCATCTTGGAGAATAGGGCTCTGGGGAGGCTCGCTCAGTTGAGGGAGCACAGCCACACACACACATCCCCCTCAAGAGGGGTGCAGACCCCATGAGAACCCATTGCCATCTCTCCCATGAGCCTATGCTCTTAACTTCTGCCAGGACCAGTTGAGCATGTGGCCTTAGTTTCTCCTGTAGGATGGGGCATGGGAGGCAGGACTTCACTTCCTGGGCCCTTCCCAGGGTTCATGGTGCCCACTGGAGAATCATACCTAAAGGTGGGAGCTGCACGCCCACATTCTGCCTGGCCTGTGAAGGTTTAGGGAAGCCATCAGCCACTCCTCAACAAGCCACTGGCCTCAATTCCAGCTACTTTTAATCACTTGAGCCCCAAACAGAATTTGTAAAACCCAGATCTATGGGGCATGGCAGAGAGGTGTTTTGTTTTCTGTGGCAAAGAGTTTGTTGATGTTGGGTTTTCCCGTTAATACTGCTAAACTGTTTAGCCTGTAGGGACTTAACATCCACGGTTTGGGTGCTGAGGGTGGTGCCCAGGGAACCACCCAACCACGGGAGGTACAGCCTTTCCTTGATCCCTCCAGCTTCCCACCTCTCTGAGCCTCAGTTTCCTCCTCTGAAGGGCAGGTATCAGTGGTCACCGTGTGGTGAGGGCTGTCCAGGCAGCTGCTGAGCACAGAGCCCAGCATGTGGCGGACACTTCACCTAGGTCATGCTCTCTGTCCCTGTGTCGGGGCCTGGCTGTCCTTCCCATGTCCCTGCCACTCAAGTCAGGGATGCCCACAGGTGACTACAGGCTTGTCAGGAAAGGTCCGTGCACATGGTGACCAGCGAGACTGGAATGGCTAGGCGGGATCTACCCATTAGATGTAAATGGTCTTACTTTTCAAAGCTGAAACTTAAAACTTTGTATCACGTGTAAGAGCAGATAAATTGTATCAAGTACCCAAATAGTCCATCCAAAAAGTTATAAACCTGGAGTCCAGTTTTAACTTCTAAATATTGTTGCCAGTGGAACAAAAATTGTTGCTTGTGTTGTCAGAGGGGCCTTGGTTGAGGGCTTTGCCAGGAGAGCCTTTCTCTGCTCAGGCTCTGTGCAGTGAGGGGATCCCTGGCTGCCTTTTCCTGCTTGGGCTCTCTGATGGGACAGGACCCGTGGGCAGGGCTGCAGCCCACCTCACTCACCTCTCTTTGCCTCCCCACAGATGTTCCCCCTGCCAGTGACCAATGGGAAAGGCCGGCCCACCTCCCTGGCTGGCGCCCAGTTTGGAAGCTCAGGTAAGACCCCGCTGCCTTGAGGCTGCAACTTTGCACAGAAAGATGAGCTTGTTAGAGGGTGGGCTGGAGCAGAGCAGAACGGGGTACAGCAGCAGACCTGGAAGGTGGAGTGGGACTGAAGCTGAATGTAGGCTCGTGGACAGGGTGCTAGAGGAAGAGGTGTTGGGGAGGGTGGCGCCCAAGTCCAGCAGCTGGATGGGGCCTGGGGGCACTGAGCCTGAGAACCAGCTGCTGTCATGGTCTCATGACCTGTGTTGAGTGTAACGAAGGGAGCCTGGAGGTCAGCATAGTATTCTCTGTCTGTCCTGCACCTGGAACCTGGGCCCCTGGTCTGGGGATGGGAAGCATCTGTGTCACTCACTAGGGGGTCGTGTGTGAGATAGGGACTTGAGCCTCTGAGGTCTTCTTGGCCCCAATGGGGCCCTGGATCTCTATTCCATCCCCAAAGGGGAAACTGAGGTCCAGAAGGGGCAGGATGTGGAACCTCAGCCCTTGAGAGATCTTGCCCATCCTGCAAGCCTTGGGAGAGGCCCAGCTCCTGGCCCTTATTGTATACAGGAGGATTCAGAGGGTTACTGGGACTTCGGGCATTTAAACTGGGTACATCCAGACAAACCTGTATGAGTTGGTCACTCCACCTGGCACTGAGTGCTGATGACATGACAAAACCAGGCCTGCTGGGGATGGTCTCTAAGGAGAAGTTTGAGCAGAGACAGGCCAGGGGCACAGCATGTGCAAAGGCCCTGGGGCAGGACCTTGCTTGGCATTTAGCATGTTGGAGAAACAGGGAGGAAGTTTGTGTGGCTGGAGCAGAGTGAATGTAAGGGGGAGAGAGGGAGGAGGTGAGGACAGGGAGGGTATGGGGGCAAGTGGTGCAGGGCCTTGTATGCTGTGGTGAGGATTTGGGCTTTCACTCAGAGGGAGGTGGGAGCCCTGGAGAGCTGTGAGTAGACGGTTGCCATGTGCATGTTGGGGAGTCCACTCTGGCTATTGGGAGGATTTGGGGGGAGCCTTTGGGGAGGCTGGCTGTTTCAGCCTCCAGCACCTCCGCACTCTGTGTGGACTTTGGCATCTTTCTGGGGTTCTAGGATTAGTGCCGTGCCATTCTGCATCTCTGGGATCCAGGACAGAAGGTTTTGTCTTAGAGTCGTATTTGAATTCCACTGGGATATCCAATGAACTCTGGCTGGAGGAAGAGGGGGTTTTGAGGCGGTGGTTTATGTTCATGCCACCACCCCAGAGGGAGGAACATTGTGTTGCCACCCCCATTGCCCTGTGCTGGCCTTCCTCTCTGCCTGAGGAAGTGGCAGCAGGGCCAGCCAGAGTCCTCCTCGAGGTACGGAAATCCCCACATCCCTTCCTTCTGAAATAGCCCCCAGGAGCTAGGATGCTGCCACTTCCCTACCTCAGGCAGAGGATCAGGCCCTGGGGGCTTCATGGAGGAGGTGGCACAGATGTGCCTTCATCTTCCCCTAGGCCTCTGCCCTGAGCTATCTTCCCTAATTTGGTGTCCACGCACAAGGCCAGCAGCCCTTACTAGCCAGAGCCATAGTCCAGGGTATAAGGGTCCTCTCCGGGAACCGTTGTAAATATTTGCAGATTGATTTTCCATGGTTTCTGCAGCCCCTGCCCTCCCTCTAGCTCTGCCCTGACCGCTTTGGACAGAGAGGGTCTTGTTTACCCCCCTCTTTCATCAGTAAGTGGGTCACCCTCCTTCCAGACAGACCATGTCAGCTTAAGGGGAACACCACCATTTATCAAGACTTTCCAAATGCTAGTGGGTCCCCCATCCACAATCTCCCCCTCACCCCTCTTTCTAAGTCCGGGTGTGGCATTTTCCTGGTGCTGACTTTAAGTTAACTTGCTTCTGTTAAATTTGTTCCAAAAGGTCACTTCCTGTCAGAAAACCAGCAGCCTGGCCCTAAGTAGGAGGTGTCTCTGAAAGTAACTGAAATAGTAGCTGAGTGGCATGTTGGGGTCTGTGGGCAGCCTTGACCATGGTTGCCTGGGCCATCTCTGCTTTTAAAAAATGGTGTCAGAGAGGCATTAACGACCAACTAATGCCAGGCCAAGGCTTTCTAGTTGTTCTCTGGATTGGAAGACATTTAAAACAAGAATAATTTTTCCAGTCTTTCCCGTTTGGGAAACCCTGAGGCACAGGTCTCTAAGTGGCAGTGCATCCTCTGCCGAAGACTGCAGAGTTCAAGGCTACGTGAGACATCAGGGAATGTTCATTGTTGGACCAAACGAAGTGACTCTGTTTTTAATATCTCCACAGTTTTCTTGGTTTGTGTAAACCTAACACATGCTCAGGTGAAAAATCTAACACTTAGGAGAGGTGGCTTCCATGTTGCATCTTTGTAAGGACCCTGCACGTGTGTGATTGTCCTCCGGGGAAGTCACTAGGCTGACCATGGATGTGTATTCACAGTGAAATGTCCTCGCCATTTAACCAGCACTGGATCTTCTAAAATCTCTTCCCATTTAAATGTGTGAAAAGGAGCATGTTATTTCAGTGGGTGCTTATTTAATAACTAGTGATACCTTTTCAAAAGCTGATGGGCCATATGAGTTCTTTTTGATGAATTTCCCATTTACTATCTTGAGCCCCCTTTTTCTTTTCTTTTCTTTTTTTTTGGGGGGTGGGAGTTGATCAACTTCTCAGTTTTGGCTAACGTTTTGTTTTGAAATCATCATGGATTCATAGGATGTTGTGAAGAAATGTTCAGAGAGGTCCCGTGTTCTCCCCCAAGTCCTCCAGACATCCTGCATGTCTTTAATATAATATGGAATTAGGAAGGTGACCTTGGTACAGTACCTCATTTATTCAGGGCTCACCAGTACGTGTGTTTGCATGTGTGTGTATAGTTCTGTGCAATTTGTCCCACATTTAACGCTATTAAGTCAACACCACAGTTGAGACACCAAGCTGTTCCATCACCCCACTCACTCTCTCCTGCTGCCCCTTCATAGTCACTTGCACCCAGCGACTGATTTACTGTTCTCCATTTCCACATTTTGTCCTGTTGAGAATGTTATATACACAGACCTACACAGCTTGTCACCTTCCAAAGTTGGCTTTCTCTACTCAGCATAATTTCTTGGAGATCTGTCCCAGGTGTTAGCTGTTTCAATGGTTGGTTCCTTTTTTCGCTGCTTAATAAACATTTTAACAAAAGGGATCATAACACTTACCAACAATTACTTATGTCACCATTTCTTGAGCACTGAATGCCAGGTACCCAAATTGGTTCATTGATTGTGAGTCCTCTGTCCTTGTAGGTCGGTGAAATAGGTTCTATTGTCATCCCCATTTTACTTATGGAAAAGCTAAAACTCGAGTTTAGTAACCATCCCAGCTGCCTCCCCATAGTGTCCTGTAGCCCCACCCTATGCTGATCTTTTTCATTTGCAAGGACTTTTATATAGGAAGGATGCTTATCTTTTGTGATTTATGTTGCAGCTGTTTTTCCCCAACTTATCAACTATTGTTAATAATGGAGGTTTTTCATTTGTCTTGGAGGTTTACTGGCCTGTTTATTTTTATCCTCGTCTGAGGATATGCTTTTATTGATTTTAGAGACAGAGGAAAGGGGGGGAGAGAGAGAGAAACATCAGTCGATTCCTCCCATATGCGCCCCGACCCGCAACCTAGGTATGTGCCCTGGCTAGGAGTCAAACCGCAAACCTTTTTGGTGTAGGGGACAATGCTCCAACCAATTGAGCCACCCGGCCAGGTCTGGTTTAATTTTTATGTTATCAAGTCTTTTTCATTTATGATGTGTTCTAGACTTGGTGCAATTTCTGAAAAATCCTTAAGAACTGGATGATAGTCCATTCTGCAGTGCAGATGTGACAGACATGAACGTGTCTACTACTCATTACATCAGGTTGAAGAATATATAGGAAAGATGCTGGAGGGCACGAAAGCATACTTTCACTGTCGTTTGCAGAGCAAAGAGATGAAAAATTAGTGGGGGACAGGAACCTTAACGGTGATCAAGGCTGAGCTAAACCATCTCCGGCCAGTGCACGCATCAGGCTATCCCATGGGTCTGCTCAGAGCACACACATCCCTGTACTCTGGACCCAGAGCCACTGATGAGAAAAAGCTGGGATAGGGCCTGTAAGAGCTTCTGAGCAGTTCTGAGGACACCTCCAGTTAGATGCACTTATCCTTTAAAGCCATACCCTGTAATTAGGGTCCGTGCTCCTTTTATAAATATCAACCACATACTGGGCAGAATGAAAATCCCTAACATTAAAAAGAGAGAGAGAGAGAAAACCCTAGCCAGTTTGGCTCTGTGGTTAGAGTGTTGGCTCGAGGACTGGAGGGTACCAGGTTCGGGTCTAGCCAAGGGCACATACCTCCGTTGCAGGCTCAGTCCCCAGCTCTGGTGGGCCCATGAGTAGGAGGCAACCAATTAATGTGTCTCTCACACTTTCATATCTCTCTCTCTCTCTTTCTCTTTCTCTTTCCCCCATCCACTCTCTCTCTGAAAAGCAATGGAAAAAAATATCCTTGGGTGAGGATTTTAAAAAAAAATTTAAAAATGCCCCACCAGTGTGGCATATCGAACGGATTCCTGCGATCTTCTGGAGATCGAGGTTCAATTCCCGGTCAGGGCACATGCTCGGGTTTTGGGCTCGATCCCCAGCAGGGGGCGTGCAGGAGGCAGCCTGCCAATGACTCATCATTGATGTTTCTATCTCTCTCCCTTCCTCTCTGAAGTCCATAAAGACATATTTTAAGAGAGAGATTGAGATTGGTTGCAGGCTCAATCCCTGGCCCTGGTCCAGGCTCATGCAGGAGGCAACCAATCCACGTGTGTCTCTCACATCAGTATTTTTCCCCCATTCCCTTCCTCTCTCCCACTCTCTCTGAAAAGCAATGGAAAAAAATATCCTCGGGTGAGACCAAAGTATAAGCTATGGTTTTTGAGAACAATGCAGTAAATCTAGAAATAAACACCAAAAAGTAATAAGAAATAAGCCTGACC